AAAAAAATAATATTCCAGTGACCTGTCTCATTGAGAATGACTGAGGTCACTATAACTGCCCTGGCTCAGTGCTAGAGAATCATGGACATTGTATTTTTTCTGAGACACTGAGCCTTCTCTGTCAGAGAGCTCTGGTACCACAATAAACTACAGTTGCACTATTTCTGGCAGTCTGCAAAGGTCCTTAGATAAACACCTTAGATATGCCTTAGTTAATATTAGGCAACAAGAAAGGAAAACATCCTTAGAACAAGGCAAACCAATACATGAAGAAGAGAAAGGGGAAAATTTGGTCATGAATTATGATGTTAATATAGCTAATGAATCTGAGAGAGAATTAATTGAGGTGATCGGTGCAGAAAAGCTAACAGAATTTAGTCAAGTTCAGAAAAATGATGAAAGTTTGAAACCTTTGTTCACTCTAGATGAGGAAGAAGACTTAGAATTAAGTGAGGAACATCCTCACAAATTCACATTCATACAGCATAAATTATACAGAGAAACCTTGAAATGCAACCATAATACTCAAAAAGGATGCATAGACAATTAGTTGTTCCCATGAAATATAGAAACATAATATTAGAATTAGCTCATGCTAGCTCATTTGGAGGTCATTTAGGAATCAAAAGAACTACACAAAGAATATTTCAGAATTTCTATTGGCCAAGAATGGGAAAAGATAGCAAACATTTTTATAAGTCTTGTGATACTTGCCAGAAAATGAGCACAGGCAGAGACAAGACAGAACTTTGTCCCATGCCAGGGATATCACAGGCATTTCAGAGACTAGGCATGGCCATAATAGGACTGTTACCTCAAGCAACTCAGAGAGGAAATAAATATATACTTACAGTAGTAGATTATGCTACAATGTACCCAGAAACAGTAGCATTATGAAACATGGAAATAACTACAGTAGCAAATGCCTTAGTAAACATTTTTTGTAGATTAGGATTTCTGAGTGAAATAATTTTGGATTTGGGGAGTTCTTTTACTTCAGAGATAATGCAAAAACTATGGGTTGTTTGTGGAATTAAACATCTGACTACAACAGTTTATCATCCAGAGAGAAACAGGCTTGTGGAGAGATTTAATGGTATTCTAGTCAGAAAGATAAAGACATATATAGCAGAGAATAAAAACAATTGGGATAACAAGCTTCAACATCTTTTATTTGCTTATCAAGAAGTACCTCCAGAGAGCCTTGGTTTTAGACCATTTATGCTATTGTTTGACCACAAAGTGAGGGGATCTTT